GAGCTTAAGTATTCACCTCCTCGATCTGACCGAAGAGCTTTAATACTTTTGCCCAACATATTCTGTACTTCATTTCTGAATTCCTTGAATTTATCAAAGGCTTCAGATTTATGTCTCATAAGGTAGACATATCCATATCTACTGAAATCATCAGTAAATGTGATGAAGTATGAATATCCACCTCTGGCTTTAACTGTTAGTGGACCATATACATCACTATGGATGATGCCTAATAGCTCAGTAGCCCTTTCACCTTGTCCTGTGAAAGGAGACTTGGTCATCTTGCCTAACAGGCATGACTTGCATACCTTAAATGACTGAAAATCAAAAGGGTCCAAAACTCCATCCCTTTGAAGTTTTGCAATGCGAGTCTTATTAACATGACAAAATCTACAGTGCCAGAGATATGTCTGGTTTTGATCACTATGTTTAGCTTTCTTGGTTTCAATGTTAAGAATATCTTTATTGTTTAAATCAGGAACTTATAATCCATTATATAACCTTGCAATTCCAAATAGAATACCATTCAAACTAAAGGACAACAATGTATTAGATATTTCAAAATGATACTCTATATTATCCAAAGTGGATACTGAAATAATATTTCTAGAAATAGAAGGTACATGATAATAGTTATTTAGTTCCAACAACAAGCCCATAGGCAAAGATAAACAGTAAGTCCCTACAGCTAATACAGCCACATGTGCTCCATTTCCAACTCGTAGGTCCACCTCTCCCTTGACGAGCACTCTACTCTGCCTTAGCCCTGCACATCAGTACAAATGTGAGTACCACATCCTGTGTCAATGACCCAAGATGTTAAGAGAGAGAAATTAATCTCAATCATAAAAATACCTGAAGTCGTAGCCTCTGACTTCTTCTTACTTACGAGGAAAGCCTTGTAGTGTTTCCTCCAGTGGCCAGGCTTGCCACAAAAGAAGCAGACTACCTTTCCCTTCCCTATGCCACTCTTAGGCCCAAGAGCAACCTGACATGTCCTTTAGGCTTAGGCGTGGGCTTGGGTTTAGCCTTGGCCTTACCCTTACCGTTACCCTTTACTTTACTGGTAGCAACCAGTAAAACAGGCTTGGACTTTTTCAAGTCCTGCTCTGCAGTCCTTAGCATGTTCAAAAGTTCTGACAGGGTTTTCTCCATTGTGTTCATATTGAAATTCNGAAAATTCCATCTTTACCCTTTAATTCTTTGCAAATACACCCTCATCTCCAACACATTCTCTACTAAATTTCCTTACATTTTACTCCCCACTTTTCCTGCTAATTAGGGTTAGAAAGGTCATTTTACCCCAATAGAGAATTCTCTAGAAACCTCAAGAAAACTTTTCTGCCATCCCGTCGCCGTGGCGAAGCAATTTCCGTCGCCCCAGGGAAAACTTACAGAGCCGACACCGCTATTACAAAGCCAACGTCGCCGCGGCGAAGACTGTAATTCCAAAATTCCTCAAGTCTCAACCAATCTCAAGGCAAACACTCAACCAACTCAACATACCATCCAACCAACCAACCATGACAACATACAAACTCAATTGAAGCTGAATCAATGAACATTTAAGTAATACAGCAAATCTTAACTACGTACCTCAAGTGGGGCGTTACATTTACTGTGACAACAATGGAGCCATAGCTATGGCTATGGAATCACAGTCTCACCAGTAATCTAAACACTTACTTAGTTGATTCAATCTAATCTAAGAAATCGATCGGAAAAGGAATGTGCAAATTTGCAGAATACCTACTAACTCACTGTTGAAGTTTTTGTTACAGTAGAAGCATGATGGGCGTTTAGGGTCATTTGATATTAAATACATAAATGATTGGCTATAGTGCAAGTGGGAGATTCTTGGAGTAGGTGCCCTAGAGCCAATCAATTATTGTAGAATTGACTCCTTGTAATAATGTTTATTAATCAATAAAAGGCGTTTTCTACTATATCATGTAAATCATAATTGTATGTATTGATATGTCCTTAGGATGGTAGAACCATGACGTGGGAATCAAGTGTTTCAAATCTTGATAGTGAGAACCCTATGATCACATATGGTGGCCATTCTAGAAATGCCTGCAGGCCTAGTATTATTCCGACCAAGGACACTGTAATACTTTCTTTCTAGCTTGTATACTCGTAAAATAATCAATAAAACTCATTAAAAATATATATAAGAAAATACACATATATATACGACTAATAAAGTATGGGCCCATATTTAATTTTGGCCTTTACACTTGTAAAACCCCCCTCCAGTCAGGTATCCTCTGAATATCCCTCAATGAGAATCCCGGGGATACAGGTCTGGAGAACGAGTTGTATTTAGAAAAAACCTCTGTAAGGATAATAATAGTAATATCCAAAACATGCATATAAAATGTCACACAGGATCCAAACTTATCATTTCAAAAACTTTACGTATTTATTCGGAAGTTACACAATCAAAACATATTTATAGGATGGAAGCTTCCAAAGGTGTTTCACAAACATTTATCATTTACATTATTTACATCAAGATAAAAACATCAAGATGACAATAAATCATCTCCCCTCACGTGTAGCCTCGTTGTCTCTAGCATCCTTCGCTTCTAGTCTACTTGTAAACAATCAACAATGAAAGGGTGAGCGCTAATCGCTCAGTAAGGAATGATCCATTTCATTCTAAATGTGCTATTTCACCCTCATTTAAACATATTTGTTAACATACCACTTATCTTTTACATCTAG